GGGGGGGATCAAGTTCGAAATGGCCGACTGGCGGCCATTTTGTTAAAGAATTCAGTTCTTTATCCGTATCCAAGACATGTCTGGATTGATCAAGTTCAAACTTCACACACACATGGTACATCATGTCACAAATAGATATGTGCATTTGTTTCATGATCTGCTTAACAATAGCGGAATGATGGCCATTTTAAGGCCGAAAATGCATCAAAATCACGTATTTTCACAATTCCAGAACCGGATCTCAGTCATGCATGGATGGATTTTGTTCAGATTTAGCACAATGTGTTGTACATATGCAGGTGCATTTCGGTCATGATCTGCTTTGAATGTATATGTCACTCAAATATGAACGGAACGGGGACGTGTCATTGACAATGACTTGTTTGTTTACTATTTTCGTTGCATTTCATTTTCCCCAATGTTTTATGAATTATTTCAGTTTTCTTTTTAATGTTGCAATTTTGTGTAGACTTTTTATGCATATTTTTAAGTAGGCTTATTGTAGGTATACGATGTCTATGTGTGTAGATGACTACTGGTGGCTCCTTATTTAATAGATTATTCATAATTTGTTTATCATTTTCAAATATTCCCAAATATTACATCATGATCCTTATTCCCTCAGCACACAGGAGTTCTTTCTAAGCTTTCTTTGATTAATATTTTGTTTTTCAGTTTAAGGATCCTTTGATAATGTTACTATTAGCATCAGCAGTTGTCAGTGTTATAATGGGCCAGTTGGATGATGCTGTTAGTATAACAATGGTAGGTATTCACAATTCATCCTCAGTCTTGAGTAATTACCATTGAGTTAACATTGATTGGCTCTGTGGGAAGATTATGATAACTTGTGAATATTAATTTGAGACTGAAAATGTTGATAAGCTGGACAACACCCTGGGTTAAAATGTTATTCTATATATGTATGGCACATTTATAGTTGCTGCTTGGATGGCTTGTCACAGAGTTCTTTCTAAACATATGCACACTTCATGGTTTATCAAACAGATGCAGGATACCTAGGAAACTGGGTGATTGTTGTCAGATTATTAGGGTTGTACAAACCAGTTTGTTTACCTAATCATACCAACCAGAAAGTGTCGAAGGGGGGTGTCGTAACGCTGTTAGACCAACGACAAGTCCCAGTCAAGAGGATTAGTTAGCCCCTTGGCGCATGGCCCCTTCGAGTAACATAATAGAACTCAAAACCAGTTTCAGTCTAGCAGATTCTGATAAAACTAGGAATAAAACTGACCGATATCCAAGAATTGTCGATAAAGATTTTTCTTGATCATAGATATAGGAAACAATCGGCTACCTCGCTAATAGAGGGACTGAAATGATCAATCTCCCTTCCGCCACACCAATCAATGTACGGCCTCCATCTGGATTCGTACAAACGTCTGGTGCCGTCCGACTGTGCCAAAGCGAGGAACTTGGACAACTCTGCTGAAAAGCCTAGTGCTTGCATGAGTTTATTGATAGCCTCCACGCGTGAAATATGGAATAGTGCCGGGCTCATCGGTAGAGTCCCGTCCGGCTGGGACAACAGATCCGGAAGATCCGGCAATCCCACGGGAGACTCGACTAGAAGTTCCAGCAACATGAGGAGCCAGACCTTCACAGGCCAATTGGGCGCCAACCAAGTCAGAAGACAGGTGGGCTCGAGTCACAACTTCTCCAACACTTGGTGCCCAGTTGGAAGTAGAAAAAGCGTAAGAGTCCCTGTGACTCCAAGAGATCGATAAAGCGTATGCCGATGGGTTCAGATAGACCTATGACCGGTGTAGCAGCTGGATCATCTGTCTTAGCACTCTGGTGAAGACGTACGGTGCCGTGCACAGACCAAAGGGGAGGGCGAGTGCACTGACAGAAATATCAAAGTCGGTGTTTCCATCCGGAAGCGCTTGAGTTCCACAAACCCGTTCAGCCGACAGATCAACAGAGGTCTAGGACTGGGGACACCCCCCCCCCCCCGAACTCTTTGGAACGAGAAAGATGCAGGAATAGAACCCTGGTGATACAGGGGGGGGGGGGGTTTCCCACTAGGCGTATCACCCTTTTCTCCAGAAGGCTTGCTACTTCCTGTCGGATCGTCTCCGCCTTGAGGAGTCAGAGGAGTCAGAGACTGAAGAGGAATCTGATACCCACGCGACACTACTACAAGCGCCCAGGGATCGGAAACCCTCCTGCGCCAAGCTGGTATGTGCTGCATAAGGCGCGATCCCACTGGAAGGAGCAGACGGGGGTACGGGGCTAGTGCTTCCTGAACTCCATCCTCCCGAAAGGGAGAACAAAGAGGGGGAGACTGAGCCCGAGGACCCCGGGGAGGGAGACCCGGAGTCATACCCCCATCCATGTCCAGGCAGCCGGCGAAGCCTTCAAAGAGACTTTGCGGCCCCCGGTCCCCAGAAGCGTCAGAACGCCACGTTTCCTGGGCTTCTCTGACGCTTCCCGCTACTAGTCTTCTTCTGCCCCTTCGAAGGAAACCATGAGTGCTTTGATCCTCGCTGGTTGTGGCTCCGAGCGGCGGACTTACTACCTGGGCTGCCTTGCGGCTTTGGTTTGAACCGTTGACCAGACGGACTAGCTACCTTGGCCAACAGGGACGATTGCTTCAATTGGATACGCTGATCTTCCGCAACTGCCCAACCATTTATCGCATCCACTAACTGGCCACCAAATAGCCGGTCACTACCCCAAAGCTTTTTCCGCAAGACATCAAACTCGTCTCCCGCTGGAGTCGGATAGGCCCTTATCTATAAATCTTATCTATAACTTATCTATATTGCCACATTTACCAGTCATTTAGCGGTGAATGATAATTTCTACATTTTGTGTTGCATATATAGCTCTGACTTAGATCAATGCAGAAATCTGTTTCATTTGAATAGTCTTATATTATACCCAGATTGTTGACATATACAGGAATCAAATCTTTTTCGTGTACATACCATGCAGTGTCTATTTGTAGTCTGTTTATACCCTGTATGTATTTACAAAATTCATGTGATACACTGAATTCCATTGCATGCAAGAAGTGTATGGTTCACTTTTTTCTTTTAAATTCCATGATCCTTCCAATAGGGTGTATTAGTACTTACTACAATAGACCTCAATAAAAGCTTTTTATGACATTGTGAACATATTCTTTTTTTTCTTTTGTGCACACATGTGTTTTACTTCATAGCCTTTATATTCAGCTGTACCCTTGTATTATTGTGTGTCCTATTCATACTGTAGACTATTCTTATAGTGAATATTGTGTTCTACGTAACTGCAGCCTTTCTTGATTGAATATTTTACTGGTATATTTATTTTATTTTTCATTGTTCTCATAAAAAAGGAGAATATTTTATTGGTAGTATTTTTGGATTGTTCTCATAAAAGAGAAGAGATAATGAGTTATACAAAACATACATGATGAAAGTTTCAGGTTTAAACAACAAAATATAACTGTTAAAATGTATTTTCATGTACCAATACAAATTAATAAATAATATGGTCAATATTTATGTTTATGTCACATTCAATATTTTTTTTCTGAACATTAATTAATTTTTCTGAAATTAGTTTGGATTGCTGGTATTTATTTCATCAACAATATGGTAGCCATATAGAGAGTTCACTAAATAAAATCATGCAGTTGTCACTTTAATACTAGTGCTAAAATGTTGTACTTATTTATTTCAATTATCAAAAAGGGAGTTGTGTGTGTGGGGGCTGCTTTATTTCCACTGTGGAAATGCTATGTTTGATAGAGAGATTACATTTGCTGTGCTAATGTTTTGATTACCCATGGCTTGTTTCATGACTATATTTACATTTTATAGAAAAACCTCAAGGCAAAATGGCAGACTGTCTAGGGCTATTTAATCAACATATGATGGAGTACTATTTGTTATTTGTACCGTACATCATACGATTATTGTTCAAACTGCATGTTGTATCAATCAAATAATTTGTATAATTTCCAGTGTTTATTCTTCTTGCATTGATTCACATTGGCTGTATGTACTGATATATTTTTGTTTTTATTATTATTCTTTTCAATTTTAGGGCTACCATTTTGTTACTTCCTCAGTTTTTGTCTTTATTGTAATTTTCTTTTTCTGAGTCAATATCCAAATGAGGATACTATTATACAATAAAGATTATTATTATTACCCAACTGTATCAATTTAAGTGCAAGTCACTGTTGAATG